CCGACTTACATAATATACAGGAAATTGCGTACCTTGCTCTTCTCGAACCAGCACACCGCTTACCGCTATCTCGGATATGGCCAAGTATAGATACACCATTTCATCCTCTTTTGGCATGCGGAGCAAGGGCAGACTAGTCAGATACCACTCTAGTTCATCTAAGGTGTGTTGGCATTCTAGAGTCCACTCGAAGTTTTTTTTCTTTTTGAGTAAAGAGAAGAAATGATGACTCCTGTCTGACGACCTTGATATGAATCTGCCCAGAGCCTCTATTCGCCCTGTCAGCCCTTGCACGGCCTTTACATTATTTATCACCGTGATTTCTTCGATGGCCTTGATTTTCTTGAGGTTGATCTTGATCCCCCTGTTCGACACCATGAAGCCTAAGAATTTGCCTGAACCCACTCCGAAGGCACACATCTCGGGGTTAAGCTTCATGTTGTAACTTCTGAGGATATCAAATGTTTCCTGCAAATGAGTCAAATGGTCCTCTGCGCGCAGGGATTTAACTAGAATGTCATCAATATAAACTTCCATGGATTTGTCTATTTGATGCTCGAACATTTTATTAACTAGACGTTGGTACGTAGCCCCTGCGTTTTTCAGCCCGAAGGGTATTACATTGTAACAGTAGGTACCATACTTCGTGATGAATGGAGTTTTTTCCCTGTCCTCGGGGTTCATCTGAATTTGATTATATCCCGAGTACTTCGAGAGAAGTGAGGGTCTTATGGCCGGCCGTAGCATCGATTAGACGATCGATGTTAGGTAATGGGAAAGAATCCTTGGGGCACGCCATATTTAAATCTTTATAAACTATGCACATTCTTAACTTGTTTCCTTTTTTGGGCACTACCACTATGTTGGCCAGCCATTCGGGGTACTTTACCTCTCTCATAGACCCTATTTTAAGGAGTTTCATTACCTCGTCCTTGATGAATGCATGTTTTACTTCGGACTGGGGTCTTCTTTTTACTTCACCGGTTTAAACCTGGGGTCGACACTCAATCGGTGGGTGGTTATTTTCGTCGGGATTCCTGTCATATCTAAATGGGACCAAGCGAAACAGTCGATGTTGTTAATAAGGAATTGAATGAGTTTTTTCCTGAGTTTGGGGGTTAATCCCGTTCCCAGGTATACCTTCCGATCCAGGAGATGATCGATCAAAACAGCTTGCTCCAATTCTTCAATTGTCGATTTCGTTGCATCCGACTCTTCGGGGGCAACAAAAGTTCGAGGGGCGAGGAAATCTTCTTTATCGTCCTCAGGGGTCTGTATGCTTCTAGACTCATCCAAGGTGGAGCGTATGGGGCTCGGTGCCTCTTGGTAAACTGTGAACATTTCTTTTGCCGCATGCTGCTCTCCATAAATGGTTGTTATACCATCTTTTGTTGGAAATTTTATCATCTGGTGCAGAGTTGACGGCACCGCCCTCATGCTGTGTATCCACGGCCTGCCAAGCAATGCATTATACCTCATGTCACCAACGATGACGTGGAACTTGGTGTTCTAAACTGTACCGGACATGCCAACCAGGAGGACGATCTATCCTTTCGTTATCTCGCCGGCCATGTTGAAGCCGTGGAGGACCCGAAAGGCGGGTATGATCTGATCGAGCAACCCAAGCTTTTCTACTACCTTTGACCTGATTACGTTGGCCGAGCTACCTGGATCCACGAGCACACGTTTAATTCGAACGTTGCTTGAAAGAAACGAAATTACCAGCGCGCCGTTGTGTGGTTCTGCCAAGGTCTCGAGATCCTCCTCACTGAATGCGAGGGTGTCTTCGGTCATGCGGTCTCGGATCGGCCCCTCGATTGCAGTGGATATTTTTATCCGTTTGATCACGGGGCCTTGGGGGATGTCGGTCCCCCCGATAATCATATGAATGACATGCCGAAGAATCTCTCTTTTTGCCCAGGTTGGATATTTCCGGGTTTTCCGCTGAATTTCTCAGTGCGCTCCCTGGTTAATGTGAGGATCGGCGTTAATGCCATAGGTGTCGCACGAGGTCGTACCCTTGGGAATCGGCTCCGGTATGCTCTCAGGGTTTCGTGGTGGCACACTCATACCTGGAATAATCGTACCGCCTTTCCCATAGTTTTTGAGGCTGTTGTTTTCGGGCACACTTACTGGTTTAGGCATTTTGACCTGAAATCAAAGATCTTGGACAAGAAAAAGTGTGAAAGATAACTTGCATTGTGTAGTAAAACCAACAAGAAAATAATTACTATTATTTTTAGCCCCACGGTGGGCGCCAAACTGTTTACCGTGAAAATGGTAATACCAATTAAATTTGATTAAGTGATTCTAAAAATACGTGATCTATTTTTATGCTAGTTGTAAGGCAGTTGATGCTATGTGAAAGACTTAGAAACAAGATAAGAGCTTAAAGGCGAGATGTTAACCAAACTGAATCGTTGTCGATCGGGCCTCGAGCTTGCCTATTCGAGGGCCTCGGGGTCGAGTCTGAAGCTCGGCTGGGAGATATCGAGGGTGGTCGATGGAGATTAACAGTTATAAATAAATCAATAACGGCTCTTTATGGCCAATAATAAGCAATAAATGATGAACTTTAAGTAGAACACAATAAGTAGGAGCAATAAATGAAGTAATAAGATCAAGAAAATATGTTAGAGAGCAGAGAGAATGTTCTAGTATATTTAGTATGGAGCAACAGATGATTATAAAATGACAAGCGTCCCCTTTATATATGAGAGGGAATTCCAACATAGTACAAGTGCATTTATTACAAAGGGGAAGGGACAGCTAGTTGACACCATGATTCGGGTCTGAACTTAGCTCACTAGACTTTGTCAGCCCTAGTTGTGCGCCTTGGGAACTCCCCACTTTCCCATCATAGCCGTTGGTCTGCATCGCCCCGAGTTCGAGTATCGATAGCCCTCGAGGGTAAACCTCGACCCTAGTCTCGAAACTTGTGAAATGTGCTTGCGAGGCATCTTAACGACGGAAAATTGGACCCTCCGACTTTGCCGTTTACAGTACAATTTCAAGGACCAAAAAACTAGTTTCAAAATATGATGGCTCTCAGGAGTTCTTCAAAGTATTTGCAATATCTATGATCAAGATTAGAAGCATCAGTGGTAATGGACAAGAAATTAGGCTGGACTACAGATTTCCTAGATGATGACCCTGGCTACACTTAAATTTGTTATTTCTTGTTAAAACATTTATTTAACAGGCTTAGGCCGTTCACGAATAATATAAATTTGGTGCAAGTATGTTTGAGTTCTGTTAGTTAGTAGATATATATTACTTGAACTATCTCCAGATTTTTTGTCCTCACAAAACAAATATTTAACAGTATTTTCTCGATTTTTAACCAATTGCAGACGTTCTTTTGAATTATTTCTCATAATTAAGAAATCACGAATTTCCAACCGTGAAAAACCAAAATTTGTAGTTACAACTATTTTTTTTGTTTTCAACAAAATTTCAATGAGATGTCATGTAGTCCCTTCTATTATATTATTTGAGATTACAACAAACAACCAATATTCTTAATGAATAAAATTCAAGTTTTTCATTTGACCAACGAAAAAGAAAACAATTCTAGTAATTTGGATAATTCAAGTTTTTCATTTGACCAACCAAAAAGAAAACAATTCTAGTAATTTGGATAAGCACATATAAAGATGAATCTCAAGACTTTCAATCGAACAGTGGAAAATATTTCCCAAACAAGAAATATAAAATTCTGAACTATATCTCCGTATAAGCAGCGACCCTTCCGGCCGGGACCCCGCATACAACGGGAGCTTAGTGCACCGATTGCCCTTTTTTTTACTTAAATACTAAAAATAAAATAAAAAATTACATATTTTTTAAAAGTCATTTTTCAACAAAATATTTTCCGTGAGAACATTTACTTTCATGCCTGACACAAACCCACATAGGTTTACTCCTTCTAACCCGATTCTTATTATTACCATTAATATGATCAAATCGAGCCCCGTAACATCACTCTGTCATCTTCATACTCATTTGGCGATTTTAGGTTCTGACACCAATTGTTGGCTAAACCAACCTAAAGATACTTTTAACATGGTGAGGTGATTAATACAAAAGGGACTTTTGGGGGGTGGTCTTAGCGAAATGTCTCAAAATAGGCAGTATTTCAAAAAATGAGCCCGGAACCGCACAAGCTCTTTATGTGTTTTTCTACCAGATTAAATTGTTCATTGAAATCTATTGAATTGTTATTCTATCACACTTCAGGATTTTTGTACCAATCCGGTAGAGTTGATGTTATTATTACTCTACCTATATGTTAAGTTGTTCATTGAAGTCTATCGGATTGTCATACTTCTGCTCTTCAGGGATATTTCCGCTACCGGATCGGTAGAGTTGATGCTATAGTTTGTCTACCTATCTGTTAAGTTGTTCATAGAAGTCTACCGGATTTGCATACTTTTTCCGGGTTGTTTTAACGAAGTGTTCTTCGAATTTGCGATTTCAATTTCAATCAAAAAACCCCAAATCTATTCCAAATGATCTCAACTTTGAAACAAAGCTTTCAAATACCAGCACAAACAATCATTAATTTAGTCGAATAACACCAAATTAAAAAATACCCAACACTTTCTAAGGTCCAACAATAGAGTCTTGAGATTTTCACGGCAAATCACAAAAAAACTATGTTTGAACTAATAGCTTAAGCATAAATTATCAACATTCAAACGATTTTAACAATAATCAATCATTACCTTTTATTTTTCACCATCAAATAAGAATTTTCAGCTTTAAAAATTAAAGAACTATGATGTTCAAGTAAAAAAGGAGGATGTATTGCTAAGACCATAAAAATTTGGGACATTTCACCAAGACCATCCCCTTTGGGGTTTCACGCCGTACTAATTTATGAATATGTTGTGATATTGTCCTCTTTAAGCTTTGCCACGCGACTTCCCAAAAGCCTAACACTATTAATAAATCCCTACAGTTTATATGTGAATTTTCAAATTTTTCAACTACCAAGGTGGCACTTTGTTCATAGAATCAACCATTTGACTCATACCAAAAGCGATGGTGTACTCTATACTCTCTACTCTCTAGATAATTCTCCTCTCAGCGCACATTAGTGGTGAAACCTATCGTACACCTATGCCAGAAATAGCTAGGGCAAGACGTAAAAAGCTGCAAACAAAATTCAATTATCAAATATGAAGATAGCAAAGGTGAATCATAGAGAAATTAAGAAGCCTGAGCTATTGGAAAATCGATCGGGAACATGGTCTATTCAATTGTCAACTGGGATTCCAAGAAACAATGATGAGGGCACGCACACTCCGCCCATAAGGGGGCAAGGAAGCTATAAGTGATTTACTAGGGAATGATGACACTATAGGGATAGTAGCTCCTGTATCGGGGATAACTAAGCTTATCTAAACAAAGGGTTACGAATAGCGGAGACAATGGAATTGTAATGCAATTGAAGGAAACTCAAAGTCCATGTCTGAGTCCGGAAGAGCTATTCCTGATAAGTTTCAGCAGGAGACCCCTACTGAAGAGATAATGAAGCTTGATCAGACTGATGCTAACAAATGTGTCCCTACCTGGGCGAATACTGTCACCGGGAATAAGTTGGCTTCTAGGGGAATGAAATTGGACTTCATAGCTCCGATGATACAAGAAAGGGAGATAATTGTGGAATTGAACCAAGAGGAGATTGAAGAAGAAAATTAGAAGTGGGAGCATGCTATTATCTTGTATGTCATTGGCATTTCACCAACAATTGGAGTTGTTGAGAAATTCCTTTTTGCTCAATGGAGATTCGCTCAAAAATCACAAATCTATTATCACAATTAAGACTATTTTGTTATCCGGTTCAGCTGCTATGAGGAAAGGAATGAGGTATTATTCTCTGTTCCACAAACAATTAACAATAGGCATGTGATAATGAAGCCATGGAGTTCTGAATTTAATTTCTATGATGGAGTGCTACGAACTGTGCCATTATGGGTAAAATTTTGCAATTTGCCACTTAATTATTGGGGAATGCGGACTATTAGTCGTATTGGTAGTAGCCAAGGCAAACCACTTTTTGTAGATGAGTGTACTACTTTAGTCGCTCGTATCTCGTTTTCTCGAATGTTAATTGAGGTCGACATTACAAGACCCCTGCCAAAAAAGGTGAATATGAAGGATCCTAGAGGAAAGATATTTGAGCAGGAGATAGCTTATGATTGGAAGCCAGAATGTTGCTCAACATGTCTAACCATTAGGCATGTCGAGTGATTGAAAAGAAGCCTAAGCTAGCTAAAGGAAAGAATGTCATCACCAAACAGGTTCGACAAATGTTGTGAATCAGTGGCAGTTATTCGAAAGGTGACACATGTTCAACAACAGGGTATACAAAAGCAACAAAAACAACCAGCGAAGGTAGCCAAGGAAACAATAATAATGAACAACCTCAAATAGAAGGGTGGAAAGTTGTTACAGGGAACTCATCTGATAATTCAAATAAAATAGCGAGTAATGAAGGTGAAAACATTAGCATAAAGAATGGATTTAGTCCATTAATTGAGCCAACATGCGATCATACTTTGCAGGTTCGTCAATCATTTGAAAGGGGACAAAGTAGCCAGATAGGAGCTAGGGATAACACATTTTCTCTATTTGTTCCAGAGTAGCCAGATAGGAGCTGGGGATAACACATTTTCTCTATTTGTTCCAGAGTAGCCAGATAGGAGCTGGGGATAACACATTTTCTCTATTTGTTCTAGTATGACTTTGATTACTTGGAATGTAAGAGGAATGAATAAGTCGCATAAGCAAAAGGAGATAAAGGGTTTTTAAGGGAGAATAAATTGGGCTTTATGGCTGTATTAGAGCATAGAGTTAAAACAATGAAGGAGGCTAAAATAATTGCTAAGATTGTGAGAGGATGGAGCTGGATTTCTAATGCTACAAGTACCAGCAAGGGAAGAATTTGGGTCTTTTGGGATCCTAATATTTTTGACTTTAATGTGATAGACATAAGTGCTCAATGCATCCATGGAATGGTGAGAATTTATGCAACCAACTTGTTGTTTAATTTCACTATTGTATATGGATACCACACAATACAAGATAGAAGGGGTTGATGGGAGAGACTCAAGGAACTAGCAGGAGTACAACAAGGCCCTTGGCTGGTAATGAGTGATTTCAACACTATATTGTATGTTGAGGATAGACAATTTGGGGCTTCTGTACAAGAAGCTAAAGTTAGAGATTTTAGATAATTTTTGTGTGACACTGGTATGACTGAGTTATAATACACTGGCAGGGACGATGCCTGGACAACAATAGTGTATATGGTTGGATCGATAGGGTTATAATGAATGCAGAATGGATGAACTTATGGCCAACTTGGAAAGTTATAGTGATGGAGCCTTTCTTTTCAGATCATTCCCCTTTAAAACTTACTACTGAAGGGATGCAGGGGAAGGTGCTAGGTCATTTAGATTTTTCAATTACCAAGCAGAGCATCAATACTTCTTACTGATGTTTTATACTTTAATACCACACAATAGGGGAGGTGATTTGTGTGGTGTTCAATTTTTGCGTGCACAGATTATAGAAAGACCTGGTTCTTCTATGTATTTCTCATACTACTGTTGCGGAAATAATAAATACAAAAAGTAAAGGACACAAGTATTTTTACGTGGAGAATACCCGGTTCAAAAGGTAAAAAACTATGACCTACTACTCAGTAGGATTTTCTCCAACACTTCACTAAATCACTGAGCCAAAACAGTATTTATAAAACTCTTTATAAACCTAAGGATTACCTATAATCCCTATGTGGAAACCAGCCTTTAACTGTTACGACAAACTTCAAGTTAACTCTAACTTGAATACAATAGTCAGAGTACCTAATACAATTACTTCTAGATAAAGCTTAAAGGTACAATTTGAAATACCTACAACAATGAAACTAGAATAGAAGACAAACACTTGGAACTAGTTCTTCTATATAGTTCATGTAGCTTCAGGTTCACACACTTGAATCACACAAGAATTGCTTGCAAAATGCCTTGCTATTTTGCTCTCAACTCACGTTTAACTTCAGCATTTGTGCATACATGTAAAGTGAGAACATCCTTAAATATATAGAGTTAGTAGAATAGGAAATAACTAGAGTTCTAATGCTATCCTCTTCCTTGGTGGAAGAGTTCTAAATATCTTTAACTTCTAACTCTTCCCTTATCTAGGGTAGAGTTATCTTCAAGTAAGGAATCCTTTTCCTTATCAATTATGCAATCTTTCATTCACGATATATCAGATATAACCACTTAAGCTTACTCATTCACGTGCATGCCTTGTGCTTGAATCTGCCCGTGTCTGTGTACACTGTATATGGACCTGGTTCATGCTTGAGCCCCTTCCCTTATCTAGGGTAGAGTTCTCTTCAAGTAAGGAATCCTTTTCCTTATCAATTATGCAATCTTTCATTCATAATATATCAAATATAACCACTTAAGCTTACTCCTTCACGTGCATGCCTTGTGCTTGAATTTGCCCGTGTCTGTGTACACTGTATATGGACCTGGTTCATGCTTGAGTTTCTTCCCTTATCTAGGATAGAGTTCTCTTCAAGTAAGGAATCCTTTTCCTTATCAATTATGCAATCTTTCGTTCAGGATATATCAGATATAACCACTTAAGCTTACTCCTTCACGTGCATGCCTTGTGCTTGAATCTGCCCGTGTCTGTGTACACTGTATATGGACCTGGTTCATGCTTGAGTTCCTTTGCCAATCATCAAAACAAACTTCACTTGGACCAACATTTACCATTTATTAAAGACTGTTGGGATAGTATTGGTACAAATATACGTATGAGGCAGGAGTGGTATAAGCGCAAGGAGGTGAAGCAAGATTTGAAGAAATTGAACACATGACAATTTATAGGGGTAGACAGGAAGCTAGAAGAAATAAGATAGATCTCCGGGTGGTACAACAACAAATGGGAATTCACTTGCTACATGCTAATTTAATAGAAGAAGAGAAGGAGCTGAGAGTACAGCTAGAGAAATAGGGAACAATTGAGGAGAGTATATACAAGCAGAAATCTAGAATCAAATGGCTTGAGTTAGGAGATTCTAACTCTGCTTATTTCTTTGCTAACATGAAGAATAGGTGTGGGTGGAACTCCATTAGGATTTTACAGTCACTCCAAGGGGGATTGCTACACACTGAAGCTGTTATAACGGAAGAAGTGGTGGTTTTTTATAGGAGTCTTCTGGGCACATCTGCTGAGCTTTACTTGCAACTAATCCTACAGTTATTCAAGATGAGACTATTCTTAACAGAAGTCAGCAGAAGTAGTTAATCAGTCCGATTAGCAGTGAGGAAGTAGTTTAAGCACTTAACAATATTGATGATATGAAGGCCCTTGAGTGTGATGGGCTTAATGCATATTTCTTCAAGAAAGCCTGGCCAATTATAGGTGATGAAGTTACACAAGTTGTTCTTCACTTTTTTATATAAATAAGATGTTTCAGCCCATAAATTGCACATCAGTGACATTAATTCCCAAGGTCAAGAACCCTTCAACTGTCAAGGACTTTAGACTTATATATTTGTGCACGACAATATACCAAATCATCTCTAAAATCCTAACCAGAAGACTACAAGGAGTTATGGATGATCTTGTTGATAACTGCCAATCAGCTTTTGTCCTAGGGAGAGTCATTACAGACAATATTATTATGGGGGCATGAACTATTTAAAGGGTATGAAAGAAAGGGTTTATCACCTAGATGTATGATGAAGCTAGACATGTAAAAGGCATATGATTCCTTGGAGTGGGTATTCATAGAACAAATACTTATTGGGTTGGCTTTTCCTGAAATATATATTAAATGGATCATGAGTTGTCTGAAGACAGTGTCTTACTCTATTCCTATAAATGGGATGCCGACTATACCATTTGATGCCAAGAAAGGCCTGAGGCAAGGGGATCCATTATCCCCTTTCTTGTTTGTACTAGCGATGGAATATTTAACTAGAGTGCTGAAAACCTTAAGACATAAACCAAATTTTAACTACCATCCTAGATGTAGCAAAATGCAGATAGTGTAATTGGGCTTCGCTGATGACCTTCTGATGTTTTATAGGGGTGATGTGATATCAGTCAAACTGATATATGATTGTTTTTCAACAATTTTTATTGTCTCCGGGATTGATTATTTACCAGGCCAAAAACTCAAATCTTCTTTGCAAGGGTGCCCGAGGATATTCAGATAGAGATTCTTAGCTTGCTGGAATTTTCTAAAGGAGCACTTCCATTCATATACTTAGGGGTGCCATTAAATTCCAAAAGATTGACAGTAATACAATGTCATCCTTTGCTTGACAAGATGGTTGGAAGGTGTAACGACCCAGCCGGTTATTTTAAGAATTTACGTCCCGGTCTCCTATTAATTGCTTTCTCCATGTTTATTTTTGCTATTTTGAATTGTCGGAATGTTTGATTTTGAGTTTCGGAGAGTTTTGGGACACTTAGTCCCTAAATGAGAGCTTAAGTTTTGGAAATTTGACTGTAGTTGTAACAGTGTGAAGACGGCCTTGGAATGGAATTTTGATGATTCCGTTGGCTCCGTTGGGTAATTTCGGGCTTAGGAGCGTATTCGGATTATGTTTTGGAGGTCCGTAGCTAATTTAGGCTTGAAATGCCGAAAGTCGAATTTTGAAGTTTCCCGTTCGATAGTGAGATTTTGACCCGAGGATCGGAGTGGAATTCTGAAAGTTGGAGTAGCTTCATAGTATTGAATGTGACGTGTGTGCAAAATTTCAGGTCATTCGGACGAAGGTTGATAGACTTTTTGATCAAAAGTGTAAATTGAGAGTTTTGAAGTTCTTAGGCTTAGATCCGTGGTTGATTCGTCGTTTCGATGTTGTTTTAGATGTTTTAAGGATTGGTATAAGTTTGGACAATGGTATTGGACTTGGTTGTGCCTTTGGTGGAGGTCTCGGGGGCCTCGAGATGATTTCGGTTGGTTGACGGATGGATTTGGAATTTGGAGTTGTAGCTGAAGTTATGACTGTTGTCATAACTGCATCTGCGGTTGAGAGGCCGCAGGTGCGACTCCCGCAGAAGCGGCCAAATAAGGAAGGGTCAGGAGCCGCAGAAACAGCAGATGTACCGCACCTACGTGACCGCAAATGCGGATTCTAGGGAGCAGGTGTGGTGAAGAGGTTTTAAGTGGAATTCGCAGGAGCGGTCCTCTTGACCGCAGAAGCGGTACCGCAGAAGCGGTACCGCAGATGCAGATTTGCTGGACAGAACATATAAATAGTTGCCTTCGCGAATTTGAGTTATTTTCACCTATTTTCAAACGGGAAGAAGCTTTGAGGAGCATTTTCAAAGGAGGTTTTCAGAGGAATTCATTGGGGTAAGGTCTTTGGTCCCTAAACTCGTTATGAGGTGATTTTTATCATTATAAGCACGAAAATTTAAGGAAAATCAGTGGTAAATTGGGGATTAGGGCTTGATTAATTAGAGACTTTTGAGTGACGATTTGAGGGACCATTTGAGGTTCGATTTTGGTACTTTTGGTATGACTAAACTCGTGAGAGTGTGAGCATTCTGGAAATATAAATTTTACCCGATTCCGAGACGTGGGCCTGAGGGGCGTTTTGGTCATTTACCCAATTTTGTGTATCAACTTAGAATTTCTTTGTAGAATTAGTTACTTGAAGTATTATTTACATTATGCAATTGAATTAAATAGATTTGGACCATTTGGAGTCGAGTACTCGTGGCAAAAACGTGGTTTCAGGTTGACTTTGAGCCGGTTCGAGGTAAGTGGCTTGCCTAACCTTGTGTGAGGGACCCTCCCCTTAGGATTTGGTATTATTGATAATTGAAATGCCTTGTACGTGAGGTTATGAGTGCGTACTTGTGGTAATTATTGAAAATCCGATTTTCATTAAGTAATTACTAGTATGTTTCCTCTTCCTGTTTATATTACTTGCAATTTAAGTCTGTTATTAGCTTAGGAAAGCATGTCTAATTGACTTAATTACCTTATGTGTTCAAACTGCCTTATTTGGATTATGTGCAACATGCTAGGTTAGAAATACCTATTTTACCTTGGTATGGAACTTGAATTGAACTTTGCACTCTTCTTGTTGTTGCTGTGTGTTTACTTTGGGACTACGGGACGGTATCCCGGGAGATCCCTCTGTATGTTTACTTTGGGACTACGGAACGGTATTCCAGGAGATCCCCCTACACATTTACATTGGAACTACGGGACTACATCCGGTAGATTTCCCCTGTACTGAGTATTTATATTTGGGACTACGGATCGGTATTCCGGGAGATCCCCTTGCATTATGTGTTGGACTACGGGACGGTATCCCGGGAGATCTACCGGATATTTATATTTGGAACTACAGGACGGTATCCTGGGAGATCCCCGGTTGTTATCCTTGTATTGAGCCGTATTTCTTTTTGTGCTTACTTGGCCTCTGTTGTAGTTGTTGCTATACTTTATATCCTGTATTATTTTACTGTTGTACTTATTTATATTGTTTTGTTCTACACTGTCAAACCTTATATTTTATCTAACCTCAGTAGGATCCTGACCTTCCTCGTCACTATCCGACCGAGGTTAGGCTTGGCACTTACTGAGTACCGCTGTAGTGTACTCATGCCCTTTCTGCGCATGTTTTTCATGTGCAGATCCAGGTACTTATACTCATACTTATCACGCTTGAAACGAGGTGCTTGAAGAGACTCCGAGGTATATTTGCCGCATCCCTTTCTACTCTCCCTTTTGTATTAGCCCTTATGTATTTTCGTTTCTTTATTAGACATTCTGGAGTTAGATGCTTGTAGACATTCAAAGGCTTGTGATCATGAGATTCCGGGTTTTGGAAAATGTATTAGTTTTTGAGAGTTGATATTGTGTATGCCGAGAGGCACTTTTAAACGCTGTTTTATTTTACTATTTCAGATTTAAATTGTTTTTCTTCCGCAAATTGGTTTATCTTTCGCATTTTTAGGCTTACTTTGTCGTAGAGACTGGGTGCCGTCACGATAGTTCACGAAGGGCGAACCGGGGTCATGACAGAAGGGTTACCTCTTGGACTACAAAATACTTGTCTTATGCAGGGTGAGTCAGCTTATTGAAAGTATTTTATTTTCTGTACAGGCTTTCTGGTCACAAATTTTTGTATTACCTAAAAAGATTATTACATTGGTTGAGACTGCATGTACGAAGTTTTTGTGGACGGGTGGAAATGACTTAAGCATGAAATTTTTATTATCTTGGGACAAAGTGTGTTTACCTAAGTCGACTGGTGGACTAAATGTGATAGATATAGCATTATGGAATAAAGTAGCAATTTGTAAGCATTACTGGAATCTCCGTAAGAAGAAAGATAGACTATAAATTCAATAGTTTACATACTTATTACATAAAAAGAAAACCTTTTTGGGGAATATATGCTAAAAAACATTGTGGATGGTGAACAAATTCCTTAAAGCTAAAGAGTTCTTGGAGCAAGCAGGCATTTCATTTGATGAGCTAATGAAGATACAACAGTTCTTTATTAGGGAGCTGTATATAAAGCTAAGAGGGGAGTTTCAAAAGGTTCCATGTAATAGAGTAGTTTATAATAATATGGAATGTCCAAAATGGATCTTTTTGCTTAGAATGGTGGCCCATGAAAGGTTATAAACCAGAGATAGACCGGTAAAATGGGGAGTGACGAGTAATATTATATGTCCTTTATGTGATGTAGAAGTTGAATCTGTAATCCACTTATTCTTCAAGTGCTCATTTGCTGCTTCAATATGGAATCAATTGCTAAGATGGTAGGGTGTGGATAGACAAGCAATGGGGTAGGTGGATGAGAAAGCTTGGGCGATCTAGTTCATGAATGGTAAAAATGACAAGGCAGAGATCTATAGAATGAGTTTGGCTGGATGTGCATAGTATGTCTAGCAAGAAAGGAACCAACGGCTATTTCAAGGTAGAAGGAGAGAAGATGCTACTCTGGTGAGACATATTGTTCAAGATGTACATGTTCGAGGTGCAAGCAGTAGCAGAATAGCAGGTCATTTAAACAGAATAAATTACTATCCTTAGTTGCTGCTAGTTATGAATGTAGTAGTTATGACTGTTATAAATTTTGAAGCTTTGTAGTTGGGTAGATCATAGAGAGGGGCATTCTTGCCTACACTGAGGGATTTTTAGAATTGCTTGTAAATACTTCTTTTTCACTGGTATATAAAATCTCTAAATACCCAAAAAAAAATGTGGTGCTTAGCAAATTTAAAGAAATAAGCATATTTAAAGGACTATTTTAAACCTACCCCAAATATCATTATAACTCAAGTAATACAGGGTGTGTTTGGTATGAACTAAAATACATGGAAAATATTTACGTTTTCATGGAAAATGAATGGTTTTGTCACTGATTTTTTCTTATTTGGTTGGTGAGTGAATTTTTTTTTCTGGAAAACATTTTCTAGTGTTTGGTTAGAGAGTAGAAAAATATTTTTTATGCTACTCTCCTCACCCCCTCCTCCTTCCCTAAGTCCCCATGTTTTCTTGTTCCTTCCACCTCCCCCCTCCTCCAAATACCCAATATTTTCAGGACACTATTTTCTTCAAAAATTTAATTATTCTTCTAAAAATTCACACAAACCCAAAGGAACTAATATGCTGCTTTACTTTATTACGCAAAAATAACGTTGAAATTTTTGTTCCATAACTAAACAAAAATACTCTTTCTACAACATGAAAATAAAGTATTAAAAGAAAAAACTTTTTTATATCATGAAAAGAAATACTCATTTTGTTGAAATGAAAAAAAATTTGCATCATGCAAAGAAAATACTTTTTTGGTTGAAATAAAAGAAAATACTTTTTCTACATCATGAAGAGAAAGAGTTTTTTTTGTTAAAATGAAAGAAAAACGTAAATCATACAAAAATACTCATTTGTTGAAATGAAAAAAAAAATCTATCTATAACATGAAAAGAAAGTATTATTAATAATACTAGTAGTCGTACCCGCGCGATGCGCGGTCAATATTAAAAAAATATTAATTAAATTAAATTATGATCAGGCTTGTTTGATCCTATTAGATCGTATTGCTTTAATAAAATTCAATTGTCATCTTGTTTGTCAATACGATATACCCAATAATGAAATCTCTATTAAATCAAACGTACTTATATAGTAAGTGAATAACTTTTTTGTTCTATTTTTCTTTATTATATTAAACAATATTTAGTATTCGCTTTTGTTTTTGTAATATATGAGAAGATATATAATTTATTACTATTGAATTTTTTTTATTTTAAATTTTATTATGTTGTTCTTAATAATATTATCTAAATTTTAGTGAATAAAATCTATGTTAAACTAACGGGACTTATACAGGCAGCGCATCGAATAACGTTTTTGTTATGTATTTTTCTTTATTATATCTTTCAATATTTAATACTATTACTTTGTTAATAGAAAGTTTCATTAGCATATTACGTTATTTAATATTTTTCTCTGAAGTTTTTTTTATTACTTTATTTTTGTTTTTTTATATTTAAATAATTTTAAAACTACTCCCCAATTTGAATTGGTAATTTATTATTTTTTTAATTTTGTTTTTTATATTAAAATTATATTAAAACTCCAACTTGAACTACTCCCCAATTTGAATGGGTAGTTTTTTTTTCTCTTTTTTTCATTTTTTATAGCTTTTTTATTTTAAAATAATTTAAAAACTCCAACTTGAAACTACTCCCACCCAATTTGAACGGGTAGTTGTAAGCACGTGATTTTTGCCCTATATGATAATTACTACCAAAAAATTCAAAAATAAAATAATTTTCCTTGGTGTGCAATTTTGTGATATTTTGTGCTATTTTGAATAATTATTTGTATTTGTCTGTGCATGTTATTTGCTAAATTAATAAAAAATACAAAAATATGTCGCATTTTGCATGTAGGATTTAATTCTACAATTTGTTAGTAATTAAGTTTGTTTACAAAAAATAAAAATTTACAAAAATAGGCATCGTTTGCATTTTTAGCATTTAATGTCCAAATATACAATTTTATGCTTAATTATTACTTAATTGTGCGTTAATTGTTATTGGGAGTTAATTTGCGCTTTTATAACTTAATTTAGTTCTTAATAATAATTCAAGTATTTTTATAATTTTAGTTTTAGAAAAATAAAAGAAGAAAAGAGAGCAAAATATAAAGAAAGTCGGAATTGGGTCTCTTCTTCGATTTCAAGCCACAGGCCCAAAAAATGGCCCAATCTTCCCAAACGACCCAGTCCATTTCAAAATGGGCCGACCCAGTCCATAACCCAACACCCTTATTATCTTGCATTTCAAAAATAAAACAAAAACAAAAAGAAAAAAAATCAAAAAACCCTAACCTAAACACTAAACTACCCGCCCCCCCTCACTTTGCTTCATCTTCTCCAACCTCCAAACCCCACCTCCCATGGCTTCCCTTTGCCTTCAACCTCAAGCAGCCATGGCTACACACACACAGTTGCAGCGTCAACCTTCTCCAAACAGACCCAACAAGCTTCACTTCATCGCCTTCGGAGCTCCCTCGTCGCCATCGATGCCTCGTCGATTTCATCATGCTTCCTCCTCGCGTCCAGCCATTGATGCTACTGTTCACACAGCTGTGCCTGTGTCGTCACTTCATCTTCTTCGTCCAATGAACAACAGTCCAGCTACTTTTTCTTCGTGTTCGTCAACGCTCGTTGCCATGGCTGCTGTCGCGACTGCGTCTCCTCTTCGTCGACCGCGGCTATCGCCGCTACTTCCGAGCACGTCGAGCTGCTGCCATGGTCGACCAGCTGCTCCTGTTCCGAGCACGTCAACTGCTGCCTGTGTCCAGCTGTGACGAGCAACCATGGCTGCTCCGAACGGATGTCGCCGCTGTTTCTCCTTAACCTCCATTGCTACTGCTTCGACGTTGTTTCAGCCGAATCCTTAAGTTCGAGTTCGTCGTTGGTTAGTCGTTCGTCGTTTCAATCCGGTTAGTAGTTTTGAATTTTATTTTGTCCATTTTCGTTTTTATATTTCTCAAAGTTAAAATCGTTAAATATTTGATTCTTGTTTTGTTCGTTGTTCATCGTTGAAATCGTTTTTCTAGTTTGTTCATGTTCATGTGCTTTGTTAAAATTAATTTTCAGATTTCAAAATAGAAGTTTAATTAGTTGTTTTCATGTTTATTTCATGTTTGTATTATTGTTTAAGTGAATATTTGTTAGTTTAATATTTGTTAGATTCAAATTGAAATTTAATTAATTGTTTCTTCAATTTGTTTCATGTATTTGATGTATTTTCCGGAAATTGTTAATATTGTTAAGTTCAAGCTTAAATTCATAATTGTTTCTTCTTAGTTTTTGTTTTGTCATTTGCCTAAAAGAATTTAGTTGTAATAAGGGAAGTATGTTGGTTTTAGTCATTTGAATCCGTCGTTTTTATTTTTAGATTTAATTCATGTTCATATTATGTTTGTTTGATTTTGAATCCGAAATGTGTATAGTTTGATTTCTTGTTTACCATTTGTGATTATTTCTTGAATTGGTCTCATAATCTTGTTTAAAGTTTAATATAAGAATTGTTTGTTGTAATGTTGTTAGAGTGGATTTTAAGTTCAATATGATTGAATTTAGAAATCTAAATATACTTGTTTGTTGTTGTTGTTGAATCCGAAAATAGGATTGTTTGTTGCTAAAATATTGTTCAATCAAATTTTAGTTGTTCTTTGTTGTTCAATTTGTATTCATGTGATTTGTTGTTGAAATGTTGAAGAAATCATGTTCATGTGATTTGTTGTTTAAATGTTGAAGAATTCATGTTCATGAAATTTGTTGTTTGAACATTGTTAGAAATTAATCATATTGTCTATATTTTGGTTAAGTTTGATTAATTGATGTGTTATAGCTGATGGGTAGTTTGGTAATTTATAGTACTTTCGGGGGTAAAATAGTAATTTGCAATAGGGTCGGAGGGGTAGTTTAGGAATTGTACATTTTGTAATTGTTTATGTGAAGCATGGGGGACAAAATGAAATGGGGTGGGTTGTGATATAGTTATTTAATATAAAGGGGGGACAAGACAAATTTTACTGTGGGGGAATCTTGTATTTGTTTATGTTAGGCATGAGGGACAAAATATAATGGGTGGTATGATATATTTATTTAATGTAATGGGGATGAGTTGGAAGATAATGGGTTTGGTAGAGAAAATGGGTTGATTTTAATTGATTAAAAGATTTATGGGATGGGATATAAGTAGAAGTCTTGAAATCAGATTTGAGGGAACACAAAAAACACACAGACAGATAGAGAGAATACAGATAAGAGAACTAATCTGAATATAGAGAAGAACAGAAAGAAAATAAGAGAGAGAAAAAAGGGCTGAACATTTAGGAGAGAGAAAATTCCGAAAAATATTTAAACTTAAAAAATAAAAAATAAAAACTAAAAAAANAAATCTTCTGCTTTCTTTCATTGTTTGAAATCAGAATTAATTGTTGTTTCATCAAAGCTTGAAGCTTTTGTTTTTTGGGATTACTGCTCCACTGGTTTGCAAACTCTGTTCCTGGGTTGTTACTGCTGTTGGACTGTTGTTGCTGTGCTGTATTGTTATTACTGCTGCTGATTCTCATCTTTATCTTCTTTTGTTTCCAATATCAGGTACACAACTGTAATTTTAGCATTTTGTAAGCCGAAATGAAGAATGGAGTGTTAAATTTTTAATTTAGTTTTAATTTTTTTT